GTCTCCTCCCCCCCACCCCCAAAGTGCTGGACGCGAGGCTCCCAGCCACCGGCCGCCCCACTCACCCTCACTGAGGAAGGCGTCCCAGACACGCAGCACCGTGGGGAAGGGCAGAGAGCGGGCGAAGAGGCACAGGAACCACTCGGGCAGGTACAGCAGGGGCCCTACGCCCACCTGCTGTAGGTGCTTGTGTGCACGCGGGAGTAGCCGTCGCAGCAGTGCCGTGAACACCTCAGCGTCCAGCCGCACAGCCTCCTGTGGCCACGTCCATCAGCTCCAGACCCTGGGGCTCTGCCCCCCTGAGTCCCCAGGCTCCCACCCACATGCCAGGCCCCTTCCCCCTGCTCCAGCCCGCATCCCAGCCTCTCACCATGTGGGGCCCGTAGTAGCCGGGGAGATAGGCCTCACAGATCTGCACCAAGCACCAGAAGGCCTCCTGGAGGAGGGGGCGCAGGCCTGTAAGTGCCCACCTTGGAAGGGACCGTGGGGCGGGGCAGGACAGGGGACAGGGACACAGAGGAGGGTCTGGGCACCATCAGCAGCCTGGATTCCGTGTCACTCCTAATCTACTCAGTCTTTGGGGGGGTCTTTTTTTTTCTTTTTTTTTTTTTGAGTTGGAGTCTCACTCTGTCACCCAGACTGGAGTGCAGTGGCCGCTTCCGGCCACCGCAGCCTCGACCTGCTGGGCTCCAGCGATCCTTCCGCCTCAGCCTTCCAAGTAGCTGGAACTACAGGTGCGTGCTACCATACCCGGCTAATTTTTTATTTATTGTAGAGATGAGGTCTCGCCAAGTTGCCCAGGCGGGTCTCGACCCCGCGGGCTCAGACAATCCACTCACCTCGGCTTCCTAAAGTGCTGGGATTACAGGCTGAGCCACCGAGCCCTGCTGGGGGTCTCTTACCAGAAGCCCCCTTCTCTGCCCAAGTCAGGGCCCTCCACTGGGTTGAAAGTGACAGGGCTCAAGGTGTTGGATTTGAGGGTGTCAGGGTTGGAGCTCATTGGGCAAGGGCTGGGAGGGTCCCCAAGTTCAAGTCCTGGGTTCCTGGGGTCGTCAGGCTCACGGGTCACAATCCCAGGGTTCAGAATCAGGAGTCATGAGGCCAAAGTGATAACATCCAGACTCCTAGATCACTGGGTAAGGGTCAGGGTCAAGGGTCCCAGGCTCCTGGGGTCAAGGTCATTAGGTCACTGGAGGTCACTGAGGTTGGCAGTCATGAGGCCCTGGGTCACTAGGACAGGGTCCAGGGGTCAAGGATCCCAGGTCCCTGAGGCCTGAGTTCCTGGGCTTGGAGTCACAAGTCCAGAGTAGAGGGGTCACTGAGGACCTAGGTCACTGGGGTCCAGGGGTCAGGGTCTCCGGTTCTTGGAGCAGGGTGGGAGTCACTCACCTCCGGAGGCAGGTGCATGAGTAACACAGAAGCCACAGGTCCTTGGGCCTGGCAGTAGCCCTGTTCCGGCCGATACAGAGTGTAGGCCTTGAGTACCTGCAGGAGCCCCTGCTGCCTGTGTCAGAAGACCCCATTAAGGGTCAACCCTCCAGGCGTCCCTTTCCCACCCTCTGGTGGCCTCGGCCCAGGTCTCAGCCTCCCTGGGCCTCGCTGGGTCCCCTGAGACTCAAGACTGTGCGGCTGGGGTGGGGAGACCAGACCAAAGCCCTCGGGGGTCGTGGGGCCGGGGGTCCCGGACATCCCTGGTCTCGTACCCGTGGCCCTGGGGCGATACAAACATCTCGTGCAGAGGGAACTGGCGATGCAAGTCCCTGCCAATGGTCTCCATCCACTGTGGGTCTCCAGGGGCCTCTGCCAACTCCTGTGGGTGGGCAGGAAGGTGGGCTCGAAGGTGTTGGGAGAGGGGAAGGGAAGGCGGGGCTTCTGCCCACTTCCTCACCTGATAGGTGCCAGGGCTGTTCTTCTGACACACGTGGGCTCCACACAGCAGGGGCCAGCACCGGGCCCGCAGAGCTGAGGGGATGCCTTTCCGGCACTGCATCTTTACCTGTGGGGTAGAGGGCGGTCACCCTTGTTCCCGTCGGCAGGCCCCGGGCACAGCTCATCATTGGCCAGGGGCCACGTCTGGTGGCAGGGAGCAAAGCGGGAGGTGCTGGGACACAGCATGGGTGTGTTTTGCCAAGGAGCGGGCCGAGGTCAAGGGGAAGGAGCCCAGGAGGCCGGGGAGGGGACACCCACTCCCCCTCACCTTCTTGTACCGCCTGGATATGGTTTTTTCCCAGTGCGAGGTCATCTCCACCCACTTCATCTCCCGTTGGCGGATAAGGTCTGCAGGGGGGTGACCGGGCCTGGGGCACACGGCACAGGTTTCCAGGCAGTTGTTACCCATGCCTGCCATCCTCCTCCAGGCTACCCAACTGAGTCCTGTCCTGGCCCTGAGGATGGCTGGGGACCCTGGGGGGTGACCTGTGACCCAGGAGCTGCCATGGTTGTCATGGGGACGGGAAAGGATGTGGCTCCCATGGGGGCAGAAGCAGGAGAGACAGGGGTGAGTGGGTATGTGTTGGGGGAGGGGCAGGCTGGCTGTCACTCAGCCCAGGGACGCAGATAATTCATAGGGGAAGCTGGTTGGATAGATCCCTGGACTGGAAGCCAGGTGGTTGAATTTGAATCTGGTTCTGTCTCTGAGCCGCTGTGGGACTTGGGGCAAGTTTCTATATCGGGCCTTGTATTCCTATCTGTAGTTTGGGGAAGATGGGGAGGAGGTGTGGATCCTACAGTTTGGTTGCGGGATTTCTGGGCCAGAGATTAAAAGGGGAAGAATATTCTGCCCCAGGGGTGGGTGCAAGCCCTTGGAGGTTGGGGTCAGAGACATACAGGGACCCCTCCTCCTCCTTCCACTCTTCCCACCTTAGGATTCTACCTGGATCCTGAAGAGGGGTGATACTGGCTGAATCCTCAGCCCACTCCCTACTGCCAGACCCTCCCTGGACCCCCCAAAGTTAAGTCTTACTCCAGAGTGCAGCCCTCTGCCCCCATCCTCAGTCCCAGCACCCACCATCCCTCATCCCTGCCCCACTTACCCTGGCTCTGCTGAGCTGCCCCCAATGAAGCCATAGCGGTCAGCCTGGCGATACGGGCCGGGCCCGCTCATCTCGGAGTCGGACCCCAGAGAGCTAGAGTCATCCTGCAGCTCTGAAGCTTGCGCCAGGTTTTCCCCCAGGCCCTGGGCCATGGTGTCCCAGAGCTTCAATGCCACAGGCTGAGAAACGTGGGGAGAACCCGCGTGAGGGGCCACTCCTGGCCAGCCGGGGGGCCTGGGTTCCTATCCAGCCAGTGCCCAGATCCAGGGCTTGGCTGTGGGGTTGGAGGAGGTTTCAGGGTATCTCACCATGCCCCCATGTCTGCTCTTTTATTGAGGCAGGGGCGAGGCCCTGCAGTGACAGGCCAGGCCAGCACAGGGCCCAGCCCCAGGCCCAGCCCTTGTCCTCCCCAGCCAGCTCACCTCCTGGCGGCACCTCACCTCCTCCTCTCACTTCCTCCTCACAACGCTTCAGCAACCCACTGGGGGCCCCTCCCAAGTGGGGGGTGTCACCCCTTCCTCTCTGAGACTCTTCCGGCCTGCCCCAGTGTCCCTGAGCCTTGGGCTCCTCCTATCTTTCTTATAGGTCTGGTGGCTGCAGGCTTGAGTTCCTGGGCTGGGTGTGATGGGGCCGGAGCTGCCAGATGTAGGAAAACCAGACCACGGTTTGCTTTTGTTTTGTTTTGTTTTGTTGAGTTGGAGTCTCACTGTGTCACCTAGACTGGAGTGCCACGGCAGGCTCATGGCCACCGCAGCCTCCACCTGCTAGACTCAGGCGATCCTTCCGCCTCAGCCTTCCAAGTAGCTGGAACCACAGGAGCACGCCACCACGGCCGGCTAACTTTTTTATTTTATTGTAGAGAGGAGGTCTCGCCAAGTTGCTCAGACTGGTCTTGAACCCCTGGGCTCGGGCAATCTTCTCGCCTCTGCCTCCTAAAGAGCTGGGATGACAAGCGTGAGCCACCGTGTGGGGCTCACAGCTTGTTTTGAGCCTTAAGTACCCAACCCAGGGCTCCAGTAAGACTTGCTTGATGTTTGCTCTTCACAAAGTAATACTTTTAACATGCACACGATGCAGTATTATCAACCAACTCAAAAGGTAGCTATGGGACTTAAGGAGAAATACTAATTTGGCATGTCTCAGGGTGGTGTGGCCCACAATGCGCTGTAGCTCAAAGGAATAAGAACGTGGGACGGTTGGGGCTTGGACCAGCTCGTTGCTATCTCTTGAGCTTGTTTCCTTTTCTGCACTTCGAGGACGTGATCCGCAGTGCTTGGGGAGACCTTATCAACGTGCTCAGCCAGGGCAGGGGCAGGAAGGGCTTCTTAGCCTTTGAAAGAGAAAAACAACTTCCACAGTACTTCCGGCCCCCGAATCCTCCGAACGGGGCAGGGTGGCTGCTCCCCAAGGGCGGGGCCAGACT